TTTTTTTTATGATTTGTAGAGTCTATTTTAATGGAGTTTCTATCCACTATTCATGGTGATCGTAATATTTAATAAAGAAAAACTGTAGGAAAAAATGGAAACAAAAAGAATCTGCTTATGGAAAGTTGCAGACTTTCAATCGTGCAAAAATTTTATAAGAGAGAAAAAGGCAAAGATAATTAGCCTATGTATTTAACTTATTTCTCTTATCTCCTTTGCGAAACATGCGTGTTGGCAAACAAGCGAGAGCATCTTAAGAATATGATAAGACGCTTTACCTGCAATAGTGCAAATATTACTAATGCAAATACACTACTCATAAGACCATATATTTGGAAAAGATTAGGATGAAAGAAAAAATGCTATTATCAGTTACCTCCTCCCACGTAATGTTATTTCTCTCATTGTCTTACTCATAACTTTGGAGTATAGCTGTGAGTGTGGGTGTGGAGTGAGACGTAATTGTGCCTACGAATGTGGGATGGATGAGTGTCGGTGTGAGGGTGAGTGGGTGTGTGCCATGTGAATTTTGCGTTCATCATGTAGATTCATCTTTCATACGCATCTACACCTACAGAGTGTGAATGTGAGTGTGTGGGTGCGGGGTATGGGTGTAGGTGAGGTGTGGGTGTAGGGTGTGTGGGTGTGGGTTGTGTATGGAGTATCGATACCACACCCACACTCGCATTTCTGTGCGAAACCTCCTTCACAGACACTCACACCCTAGAGAAAGACTTAGAGAGAAGGTGGAGGTGTGTCTTGTTATAAGTGGATGGGTGAGTTATACTTGCTGGAACTACTCGTGTAGGCTCTAGAACTTCGGTCAGGAGCTATCTTAGTGTCCATGGCACACGACCGAACCTGCACCAGACTCTTTGACACATCTCATATGGATGATATGAGTCTGTCTCGTGCTTTCGTGAACTTCATGCTCGTTATGGCTCCATCAGGATAGTTCCTGACTGCGACTGAATAGAATAACTATTCATTTAATCGATTCAATATGATTTATTTGAAAGAAAGAAAAAAAATCAATCATCGTAATACGTTTATTCTATTGAAAAACGTTGAACTCGATGATTGTTATGATCGACGACATAGAGATTGCCATATCGATCAAAAGACAAGCCGGTGGGCCAGTTGAATTGATTTGCTTCTTGCCCTTCGCCATTTCCACCTACAATGACAGTGCCCTGTTTTATTCCTTTAGGCCAACGCATCACTCGATGATTCCAGGAGTCTACCACATAGACAGTACCCAACGTATCAACGAAAAGTCCGTTAGGATACAGCAAATCTGTCAGAGCATTTCCAAAGTCTTGATTTCCAGTGACGACAATCCCCTCTTGTGCATCTTTGGTCCATTTCATCACACGACGATTTTCCAAATCTGACACGTAGACAGTCTGTTGTTGATCGACAAAGACGAAGTTCGGCATCTTAAGTTGATTGAGACCATTACCTCTGCCATGTCCACCAGCAACGATAGTGCCATTCTTATCTCCTATTTGATATCGTCTTACTTCATGTTTGTCGGTGTCAGAGATGTAGAGATACCTCTCATTATCCATAGCCAACCCAGAACAACCGATGTTGGCGATAAGAATTTCTCCTTGAGTGTTACCATTACTGCGAGACCATCGTACGATTCGTCGATTCTCTCGATCACAGATAATAAGATTATCCGTCTCCTTGTCGACCAGCATGTCGGTTGGATAAAACAATTGATCCAATCGATTTCCATGGCCATTGCCACCAGCTACCACGTGTCCATTCATATCATTCATCTTCCATTCGACGATACGTCCATTAGCATAGTTAGCGATGAACATCGTTTGATCATCATTAACGAAGAGACCGAACGGCAAGTTGAGTTGATTGGTAGCATTGCCTTTTCCATGGCCACCAGCTACGGTCACTCCATTCTGTGTCCATCTAGCATCGACTGGAATGTTGAGAATCACTACAATGAACGAAAAAGAAATCGAATCATCATTGTCGAGAAGATTTCTCTCTCTCTCTCGCGCGGGAGAACGTGATACTAACGAGAAATTTGTCTTCGAAGAAAATTCAGTAAAACTTTCGAGAATATTCCTTCCATAGATAAAAATTCAAAAAAACATTTCCTCGCCTTCCATGAAAAAAAAGGATTTTATAACGATTCTTACATCTATGTCATTTCTACTCGTTGCCAAGATGTTTTAGATGCTAAAAAGTCAAATCTTCACAGTGGATAAAAACTGCATGTAGCGATGCAGAATCGTTGAACGATTATCAAAAAGCATAGTAGAAAGCTCACATTTGGGAAGGATTTATATGAGCTCCAGACAAAGATTTAAGCAAAAAAATAATCAACTCTGTCAAACTTCTAAACTGAAAACATCTTGAGAAGACTCCATCTGGATGTTATTAGAAGAATCTCAAGCATGAATATTTGGAATATAAATATAGCGTGCTCAGCTGAAGTAAGCATAGGAATTAAAATAATTCAACGATTCTAGAGAGGGTGTGGGTGTAAGTAAATTAACAGAAAACAAACAACCACACTCACACCCACACCCACCCGAAAGGCTCTCTGCGACAAAAGAGAGTCGAAGAGTCCAAGAGACATAAGATATATCTTTAGTGCAAAACAAAGTTTGAGGATCAATATAAAGATAAAGAAAATTATTTTCAACACCCTCAAGATGGAACAGGAAAAAAAGAATGACACGCAAAGAAACATCTTATTCTGAAAAGTATGAAAACCAGTTCAGAGCAGATATATCAGCAAAATGAGTAATCGGGATTTATTTTTCTTTGAGACATCTGAAAACTGATTTGAGTGGAGTAATAAAAAACATAGAATACCTCTCGGTTCAAAACACGTCAAAGGAGTCAAAACACTTGAAATTTGCAAAAACTTCGTCTGTCAATTGTCGCTTTCGTACAACACCCAAGCGTGTCACTATATTTTTCTATCCTGACTAGTTTCACTTCATCATCCCTCCCCTCCTCATGCATTCTATGTTTGTAGTATCTATATTGAATCTTCAATAGCATGAATATCTTCATGTTTTTAACTTATTTCAATATTTGATACACTTTTAGGGAATCATTACTAAAGATCGTTTAGGGCTCAAGTCAATATGCTTCTGCATACATTATGTACTCTAAGTTGGTTTATATGTAGTCAGTAACATGCATGAAGCGTATATGACAATCAAAATTTCTTCTGGATCTATTCTAACAGTTCTCATGAATGATCCATTAATCAGTATTTGGCTAATATCGTTGATTCGACAGTAAAATGTGTACTCTCTCTCGGAAACTAAAACGAAATTCTCTGCGATCTGGGTAGCCAAAACTATGAGTGAAATGCTTCAAAAAAGATGTACGACAGAATCGAGACACCTAACTTCAAAATTATTTGAATTTAGATGAAGATGATAATGAGACGTTGCTTAGAAAAAAGTGCATTCTTATAAGATGAAGAGGAAAAATGGATTTCGTTTTATAGTTGTCAACAAAACGAATCGAAGTTCGAGAGTGACGAAAAATAGCCAATATGGGGATTACTATGATTAAGATTGAGTCACTCATAATATAAGATCGTTGATCTTATCGATGTTATCTTCAGCTAGCTGCGAAGTAACATTGTATACAAAGGAACTATATATGCTTGAGTAAAAATTAGCATTTACCCAAGTCAAAAAGCGTTAAGCTATAGCTTACCTGACTGTTGAGTAGTGGTTGTAGTTGTGGTTGTAGTTGTGGTTGTAGTTGGAACTATTATTGAAGATGTAGGGTTTACTATTATTCATTATCGTGAAACATTTGTGTAAACAAAGTAGATAGTTTTAGATCTGACATAGGATATGATATAGAACTGAGAGCGCTTAAGTTTTAGATGAAGCCTAAGCGGAGTTTGAAAGCAGAGTGACGGGCTCAAGTAGTCTGATAATCGAGTTTTTCTTTCAAAAACTAATTTTTTATGAAAAATCTCTGTGTCCATCAGAAACCGAAACCTAGTAAAATTTTCGATACTTCTATTAAATGAGATTCGCCTTAATCAAATCAAATCGAATGGAATCGAATCCATCAAGATCGATTAAACAGATCACATCTGCTTTCTTCGTTTTAAGAAATCTTGGGAACAGAGAAGAGTCTTGCGTGACAGCAAAAAAATCGTCTTATCTAGAGCATTATAGATTATTTTTTCTAATCCGTATCACTAATTTAGTAAAATTCGTCAAAAAGAATTAAAAGTAGGAAAAAGCAGCTGATAAATAGCTGTTGCAAGCGTTTCGAGACCAGAATGAAAGCTTCTCCAGCCAAATTCACCAACTCTGTTGTATTATGAATATGAGCAAAGATTTACAAGCACTGGCTGCTGTTGTAGCACAAAATCGTTATTCAAAGTATGAAGTTTGTAATTTTAGCCTCTCACATAAACTGCCCATCTGCTGGTGTGTTCATTTTAGATCATTAGAATATGCTGCCATCATATCAACACTGTGAGTGAAATGAATTTAAAAAGGATTCGAAAGAACAGAATAATCGCGTAGAGATAAATTGTTACGCTTTCTCTCTATCTAGTTCTCACACAATTTGAATGTTTACATTCTTATCTTATGAAAGGAATCTCAAATGTTTGATACACGCAGGCATAACCTTCAAAATAAATACCTGTACCAAGATCAACTTGCCAATATGTCTTCTGCACTTGTTAGTATCCGAATGAGGCTGCTGAGTCAGTGGTGCTCTACCAACTGGGAAACATGATTTACATACACAGTTGCACTACTGATCATTACTGGCATATTTATCCCATGCCATCACCCAAGCTTTGTTGAGCTTCAGCGGCTACTGAGTCAGAGATAAATGATCAGGCTTCAATTTCACAAGTTTAGTCATTAGAAGCATGAGAAAGAGCGAATTATAAATGTATTTTCTATTGCGGTAATTGTTCATCATGGTTATTTGCAAAAAAAGGTTACTGAGTGAACTCAATATTTACTAGAATCAGTCGAGTATGCAACGAAAACTGTGGATGGAGAGAAACATGGCATAATAGAATTGATGTGCTCTTGTGGAGATTCAAACACATGACGCGTTCTACAGAATCGAATCGAATCGAATCAAGTAATCGATTGTTCATTTTGTTTTGCTCTCTGATATAGATATAACTGCAACAGACTACTCTTCCAAGACTTTTCGACTCTTTCTCATTGCTCCTACATCAACAAGAGTTACATATGCAAAGGCGTGTGAATAGTGGAGAGATATTTTTAAGAAAGATTCAGGTTCCATTTGGATCTGTAGATCACTGTTTGTTCTCTTACTTGCTATCGGTGGGCAGAGTTGTCGATTGAACCTCGGTATCGGATAACAAACAGGAAGACTATGACATCGAGGATGGTGAACACATCTATGATTAGGTTCATGGCAAAGGTTGTTCGAGCGTTCGCACGGAACTAGATCAGAACAATCGACGAATTCATCTGCACAAATGCCAATGTTAATAGCACCTGCAATATAGAAACAGGCGCATCCACTATTTGGCGAACATCGATCATGTTGAGACATTCCATGGCAGAATTGAGATTTTACTCGAGCTAGTGACATACAAAATAATAGTAGGATATGTAAAACGAAACAAAAAACAAACCTGTAAGGCTTAAAAGGAAAATGGTTCAACATTAGATGAATAAGAGAAAAAATAGATTTTAGAATTACCTGAATAGAACAAATACGAAACAATGAAGTACGGTTGAAACCATCATTTGCATTGAAATGAGACAGAATAGCGGCGGCAACCATCTTTATATCTAATGAAGAGACAATATTTTTCGCATTCGCTGAAAATGAAGAAGCGCACAATGTAATCTTTCGATAAATGGAAATTCGATATTGCTCCAAAGCTTACCTAAATAATTAATTTTTCTTCAGAAGAAAGCTATCTTTATGAAAGAAAAAAGTATCATTAAGAAAGCTATCTTTATGAAAGAAAAAAGTATCATTAAAGCAACACGGGACTCCTATTGCGATACAAGCATTTAATTTCTCGTGTTATCATTCCAAACATTAGTATTGTTATTGCTAATCATTGACTTACTATTCAATGACGATTTAGAACAACTTCAAGAACAAATTTTGATTTTAATATTCGCCTTTTTATTATAAGCAGCTTACAGACGTTCTCATCTTGATCAGATTAAAACCATAATCTATAGCCAGCCACATTCTTTTGTACTGTGAACTATGTCTTCGTTGCATTTCAAGGGTTCATTTATTCAACTTTCATCTTCAAACCTTATTTTTGACATAAACATGTTCAGTTTAAGAAAAGATCTTCTATGAAAATGGTAGCATGGCTACGAGTGCAGTAATGGCTAGGATCTTTCGCAAGCAAACAAGTTATTTCAACGATGATGCAGATTTCTGCTCTTTCTCCAGAAACTTTTTCTAACGACTTGCCATCTTCTTCTGAGGAATTTTCAGTCACGACACCATACTGAAATGATCTCTCCAGCAAAATCTTCGTGCTTAATCGATTCAGTCACATTTGACTTTAGGCCGCAATCATTTGTCAACTCTCAAGTGAATGATGTTCAATTTTTTTCTCAACATCCTCCTTTCATATCAGAGAATTTGATTATAGGAGCCTTCCTTTAATCTTGCCACTGTCATCCTTGTTGTTATCATTGACTATCAAACAAAGCCGAATCGAAGATGTGCGTTTGTGTAGGATGATATGGATATCCGTACCGTTGTGAATGTGTGAGTGTAAGAGTGAGTGAGGTCTTTTCTATACGTCCATACCCGCATGCTAGTTACAACCATTGTTCTGAAATTTTTTTCCTTTTTCTCTGTCTAATTTGTTTGAGGATGTAGGTGTGGGTTTCGCCTCTTCCCCTGCACCCACACCCAGACCCTTGCTTTTCAGTCTTCTTGAGCAAATCTCAAATGAGATGGAAGAGGATAATTTGTAGCATAACATTTTTTTGTATTTACTTGATATTGCAGATATAGTTCGTCATCTAATGGCCAATTAAGTCGAAGTAACCAAATCATATAGAAAGCAAGCGATTGTAGGTACTCGCGCCATCTAAGAGCTCAACATAATGATTCTTCGAGCAACCGTGTGCTCGTCATTTAGTGATCGCGTACTCACTCTGTAATTATTTCCTATTATGAAAGTGTCTGGCATTTATGGTTCGGTGTTGAGTAATGACATATCATCAATAGCCCTAAGGAACTTCATTTAATACCATTAATCAATCCATGATCAAATTATCCTGTGAACTTTCTCATAGGTGTAATATTTTTTTCTTAGCTACATGATATTCGGAATTCCTTTTAATAATTTGAAATTTCCCTTGTTACAAAAACTGAGTGACTTTTAGCGATCAATCGCAGTTTACCGCGGTTAATCGGAGAAAACACGCGGTTTTCATCACATAGGTTCTAACAACGTTTTCCGACTACATCATGTAGCAATTAATAAGTTTTGTTCACTATTATACGACACATTCCAACTCGGTTCTTAAAAATTTTCGGTTGGTAAACATTATCATTGTCAATATTCGATTGATTATTGACTTAACGAGAAGAAAAAAGTATATTTTTAAAAACTATTCATGCGTTGTGCCTTTGTTAATGATAGGTACTATAATTATTGGAGACTAATCTATTTTTAGTCGAACCTCTTCTAAATTTATTTTTCTCGTTTGATGTTTATTTCTCTATGCTCAACCTAGATAGAAGAACACGATACAAAAGTTACAGTTTATAATGGAGAAGGATACGATATGCTGTCCTGTAACTAAAAGTGATTGCAAGAGCACGACTGTATTGTTAGTGTAAGGTCAGTTTTAGCATCACTAATTAATGGAGTATTTCTAGTAATTTACGAAATGAAAGCAGTGCAAATGTAGTCAGTGCACGAAATTCTACAGATATACATTAACTTAATGTTACAGCGTGATGTCGCATGTGATCGAATCTACTTTCTATTTAAATTCCTTTATTTCTTTCTATTCCACTTCTTTTATTGGTCTTTATTTGCGTTTGATCTATCTATATATGCAAGAGATTGATTCGTTTTCGTGTATATCTTTTTCTTTTCTTTTTTTTCAATAAACAGACTGTACGAGCGTTCACATTCACACCTTATATAATCAATCCGAAAAGTATCCGAACACCTACAAGATTTTTCGTATGTTTTCATTTGTGGGACAGAAACAAGAGATAAAACTTTTCCTTTTTTTACCAGCAGATAACCTTTACTCTATACTAAGTTTTCTATTAATATTATCAAATTACGCTTTTCCTTCATCAAAAGTATTCCATATGCACAATTCTAGAATGAGAGCAGTAAAGCCTTATTAAACTATCTAATTTTGTGGAGACTTTACTAAACTTTCTAATTGTACATTCGAAGATTAATTTTAGCAAAAACAAAAATAATGATCATTTTCCATCTCCATCATAGCATTCAGCTTGTTCAAGAGAGCGATTTTTCTTGAATGGTTCATATTATACAAGTTGTCGTTTTTTCTCAGAAACCATGCTCAATACATAGAGCTTGCTTTGTTCGTTCCAGTGTTTTGCATATGAAATAACGCTTTATGAGAACAATACTCGTAATCCGAGATAACTGTCAAATTCGATAATATTGATAGAGAATCTAGTATAAAGTGAGGACTATCTATTGATAAAAAATAGAAAAATTTTATGTCGTGTTTCTGCTCCGCAAGTGAAAAAATACGAAAAACCTTGTAGGTGTCAGGATACTTTTTCGAATGATTGTATATAACGAAAGAGAGAGACAAGAAAGAGAAACGATAACTATCAATATTATGAATATCACTATGGATTGAAAACAATAATCGATATTCCTAGTAGACATATTGACCTATAAGCCCTAACACAGATTCCTCTTATCCTAACCCTACATAATCTTGCACAGCTCTAACAGTATTCTGCATCAGGTCTGATTGGCAAATTCGCTACTAGATATAACAATTACAGTTGTCACATTTTACGATGGGTTCAATTCGTGTGTTGATTATACATACTGACTCAGTAGTAAAGATAGACCATTCAAATTATCTTGCACAGGAGAGAACTTGCCAGGTTTATTAACCTGATCTTATGCAAAGCTTTAAGCTATAATTTTTACTGAAATTAGAACATTTCATATTCAACGACAACTCTTATTTAAGTTATATTTTTCTATGTAGAAGTAAATAAAAAATAAATGAAAATACAATCACTAAATATATTTGAAAAAAATCATAAATTAAATCGTTTGTTGTTTGTGTTAAACTTTGGGTACATCAGTAAAGAAATACGGTTGAGAACTTTTGACAAGTAATGTATAACATACATCACATACACGAGATGGTCGATTATTTGGACCAGTATAAACAGTTTTGTTAGTACATTCTTTACATAAAACTTTACCTTAAAGAAAAAAAAACATGTACAGTCAATCGTGTTGTATAAGTCAAAACTTACCACAATGGCCTAAAAGAAAGGACAAACAATATGCAAAATGAATAATTATTTTCAAAAGTAAATTATAACTTACGACAATGATGTTTTCTCCAAGTAACTGAAAATTGTGTATGACATCGTTGACATTCAGAAAAATCTTCTTCAGGTTGCCAACGTAATTCATTTTCGGAATTTCGAATTTCTTCTAATTGAACCTTTAAAAAGAAAAATTTTAAAATAAAAGAATTTTATCTTAAACTTACTAACATACTTGAAGTGCTTGAGAAAGTTTAACAAAATCATGTTGAACAGATTCACTATTTTCAAAATCAATTTTTAATTTTTGTATTTGAACACGTAATCCAGCATTTTCTTCATTAAGTTTTTCCTAGAAAAAAAAAAGAAAAATAATTTTTTCTCTTTTAATCCACTCAAAATTTTGTCTGACCTTTTCAGAGCTCATTTCTTCAATTTTTTCTTTAAATTGATTCGTTAACGAATGAAGTACTGTTTTTGTTTTTATTAATTCATTCGTATATTCTTCTACTTGTCTTTCAAGTTCGTTTTTTAAACTTAATATATGTTCATATTCACTTTGAACACTTTGTAGAACAACTAGTCGAAACAAAATAAAAAGTAGAACGAAAATGATAAATATGACAATAAATATTTTCTTTTACGAATTTCATCTTTAGCTGCAGTTAAATCTCTATTAAGTAATTGTTCGATTTGTTCTCGTTCACGTATATCAGCATTATTATTCTGCTGTAATTGTTGAATATCATGTCTAAGTTTATCTCGAATTTTAATTTGTTGAATTATTTGTTCACGTAATTGAATAATTAAATTGCAAGCTTCCTAAAAGAAAAAGGTTTCATTTTCCGTTGTTGTTTTATTCTTTTTTTCTCAATAAATTCTTTGTTTATTTACTTCATATGATGTTGGTGATTGTGATGAATAAGTTAATAATCTTATTGTTTCATCATCATTTGTTCGTGCTGCAAGTGAAGCATTTTCGACTTCAAGTCTTTGATTATATAAATGTAATAATTCACGTTCTTTAACAAGTTTTTTTATATGATTAACTTGTTCAGTAAAAATAATTTCATAGTTTAATTTTATATCGCGAAAATCAGCATCATTTTTTTCAGCTTTTTTTATTAAACTTGATAACTGCAATTAAATTAAAAAAAATATATATGTTAGACAACAGAGGTTTCCGTTTCGAGAAGTATAACTACGTAAATAGTTTACTAAATGAGGAAATCTTTATCTAGTTGTGAATCGA